ACGAAACCGAAACCGATTCCCGGTAGGGGGGCTCTCCGTTCCACTTCGATCTCACCCCCTCCCCTCTGACTGAGCTGCAGGGCTGTAGGGCTGTTGGGCTATAAGGCTACAGGGCTATCGGGCACCCCCGGGCACCCCTGGGCACGCCCGGGCACCCGGGCACCCCCCTGGGCACCCCCCGGGCACCCGGGCACCCCCGGGCACCCGGGCACCCCGGGCACCCGGGCACCCGGGCGTGCCGCGAAAATCGGCGGCAACCCTAACCTAACCATATGAATCCGCTAGGACCCCTACAGAGGCAAGCTCTGATTGGGGAAAATTAGACGCTGCTCATCGGGAGAAGCCAACGAAGTGTACAACATCTCTTGGAAAACATCGCACTGGCGGGGGCTCAAATAGGGATGGAGTTACATTGGGACAAATTCCAAATGATCAAAATCAACAACAACGTGACTCTGAGGACGCCGGCTGGGCAACCTATCCCGGAGAAGCAGTGCATGACATATTTGGATGCTACTTTATACCAGAATGGGCAATTGGGGGCGGAGCTAAACAAGAGACTCGGGGCAGCATGGGCCGAATTCTCCAAATATGACTGGGCCTGGAAGCACACAGCGTTGACCTATCAGCGAAAATTCGTTCTCTTTCAAGCGCTGGTGACGACGAAGATCATGTACTCACTCAACGCGGCGTGGCTTAACAAGGCCGAGAGGAGACGATTGGATGGATTTCAAGCCAGATGCTTACGGAGAATATTGCACATACCCCCGGCATTTGTTTCGCGAATTCCGAATAGCGAGGTATTGGAACAGGCCGGGCAAATGCAGTAGAGCGCGCAACTTCTTCAACAACATATAGTGCTTTTTGGTAGGGTTTGGCGTGCTCCAAACACAGACTTTCTGCGACGACTCACTTTTCAGCCTAACAACGTTCGTTCAGACGTGGATGCACACCAAAGGAGGCGAGGCAGACCGAGACATGAATGGGCGAAATGTATACACAAGGCGTTGGTTGCACATCTTGGGCCAGAACACAATGGCCCGCTGCTCCTGCAGGACCCCACCGAATGGCGAACCATTGCGGAGAGCATTGCGAGCAAATATGATGAAGGCGGCTATCTGTAGCAAACTTGTACATATATTGCACGTGATGCCCGGTGCCTTGGTGGACTTTTGGTTTTCCTGTCTCGCCCACGCGTTTAGGCGTATGGTTTAGCGTAGCGTAACGAAATACACGTGGCAAATAAGGAAGATATACCTCCAAGGGGGTACGATCGAAGACGACGAGGGCGGGTACCGAGGGTTTGGGATATACGTATTGATTGGCACGTGAGCAGATAGGAGCGAACAATCTGAAAATGATTGTTGTTGTTGGTGTTGTTGTTGTTTGTTGTCGTCGTCCCCCCCGCGACCCACCCGCGACCCACCCCGCGACCCACCCCAGGACCCACCCCGCGACCCAGCCGCGACCCACCCGCGACCCATCCGCGACCCACCCCGCGACCCACCCGCGATCCATCCACGACCCACTCACGACCCACTTGCGACCCACCCGCGACCCACCCCGCGACCCACCCGCGACCCACCCGCGACCCACCCCGCGACCTATCCGCGACCCATCCGCGACCCAACCGCGACCCACTTGCGACCCACCCGCGACCCACCCCACGACCCACCCGCGACCCACCCGCGACCCACCCGCGACCTACCCGCGACCGATCCACATTGGTTTGAAGAAAAAATCGGCGCCTGCGGCGGGCCGGTTATATAATTTGTGAAACTTTGGCGCAGCGGGCTTCCCAAGAGTCTCGCAGACTGCGTCCCCACCGCCCTCTCACTCTTATCGCATCTGCGGGGTGCTGCGTACAAGTGTAGATATGGAAATACATCTTAAGTACAGAAATTATCCCAGAGCGACCCTACCTAGGAGTTGGAGCCCCGAGGAGAGCAATATTAGTAGTAACGGTAAGCGCCGTCCTCCTCCTTCTCCTCATCGTCGCAGTTGTAGCCGTAGCGGTAGTAGTAGTAGTAGTAGTAGTAGTAGTAGTAGTAGTAGTAGTAGTAGTAGTAGTAGTAGTAGTAGTAGTAGTAGTAGTAGTGTAGTAGTAGTAGTAGTAGTAGTAGTAGTAGTAGTAGTAGTAGTAGTAGTAGTAGTAGTAGTAGTAGTAGTAGTAGTAGTAGTAGTAGTAGTAGTAGTAGTAAGTAGTAGTAGTAGTAGTAGTAGTAGTAGTTAGTAGTAGTAGTAGTAGCAGCAGCAGCAGCAGCAGCAGCAGCAGCAGCAGCAGCATAGTAGTAGTAGTAGTAGTAGTAGTAGTAGTAGTAGTAGTAGTAGTAGTAGTAGTAGTAGTAGTAGTAGTAGTAGTAGTAGTAGTAGCGTAGTAGTAGTAGTAGTAGTAGTAGTAGTAGTAGTAGTAGTAGTAGTAGTAGTAGTAGTAGTAGTAGTAGTAGTCGTAGTAGTAGTAGTAGTAGTAGTAGTAGTAGTAGTAGTAGTAGTAGTAGTAGTAGTAGTAGTAGTAGTAGTAGTAGTAGTAGTAGGTAGTAGTAGTAGTAGTAGTGGTAATAGTAGGCTTACTATGCTATGCTAATGCTATGCTATGCTATGGTATGCGATGCTATGCTAATGCTAATGCTGCGCTGCGTTAAGCTAAACTGAGCTAAGCTAAGCTAAGTTAGGATAAGCTAAGCTAAGCAAGGCTAGGCTAAGTTAAGCGAAGCTAAGCTAAGTTAAGCTAGGCTAAGCTAAGATGAGATAAGCAAAGCTAAGCTAAGGGGACGTAACTGGGGGAACCGCGAGGCGGATGTTGGGGGAACCGCCCGGGGCGGGTTCCACTGCCCGGCCCTTTAAGCCCACACAGTAAGAACCCTTCTAGGCAGAGCCTAGGTAGGGAATATATGTGCCGATCTATACATCTACAGAGAGCAAGGAAGAGAAAGAAATAACGAAAGAGAGAGAGAGAGAGAGACAACAAACAACGAGAGAGAGAGAGAAAGAGCGAGAGAAAGAGAGAGAGAGAGAGGGAGAGAGAGAGAGAGAGAGCACGCACGACAGACAGAGAGAGAGAGAACAAACAAAAACGAGAAACGAAGGATTTTATCAGGAAAGTCGGGAAGGAGTGAAGGGGAGAGGAGGAATAGAAGGACGGCGGGGCGACGGGTCAATACAGGAGACGTAGACTTGAGGCAATTCGTGCGAAGACTTCGTATCCCGTCAGGTGATGCGCAAGCCGAAAGATTTTCCTCACCCCCCTCTGTGTTTCCCTTAGGAGAAAATCTCGATGGACTCCCATCTTTGCTCTGATCGCCATTACCAGGTTCGCCAACGGAGACGGATGAGATCCATTATTATCTCGCACAAGCATACGGCCTGGAATACAACAGCAGAGATTCAGGATATTCTCGTACCAAGAACTATTTGGTGTTGTGTCCTCGCTTTGAAGAGACAGCGCCCCGCGTCCAACCTCCCCTCCTCCTACTTCCTCCTCCCCGTGCTCACTCCTCCCATTCTTCCGTCTGCCCTCCGCATGTCAGCCATTCCGACACACACACACACACCATTGCGTTTCGTGACCCAATAGGGAGCTCCACCGAAGGCCCAGGAGCGATGCTCGCATGTGTCCCCCCCGCCCATTTCGGCACACCCCTCACACGCTTCCCAAATATGGAGATCCACCCCAAGGCCCCAGTGGCGACGCTCGCACGCGTCCCTGCCATGCATTTCGGAACACCTCTCACACGCGTCGTGCCCCCATAGGGAGCTCCACCCAAAGCTCGAGTGGCGACGTTCGCCTGCGCCCCCCCCGCCCATTCCGGCACACATCTCACAAGTGTCGCGCCCCCATATACGGCGCTCCACCCAAGGCCCCAGTGGCGACGTACGTTCGCATGCGTCCCCGCCCCCACTCATTTCGGCACAACTCTCACACGCTTCGTGGCCGCATAGGGAGCTCCCCCGAAGGCCCCAGTGGCGACGGTCGCATGCGTCCGCCCCCACCCGATTTCGGAACACACCCCGCAAACATCTTGTGGCCCCATAGGGAGCTCCATCGAAGGCCCCAACGGCGACGGTCGCATGCGTCCCCCCTGGCTCATTTCGGCAGACCCATCGCACGTTTCGTGCCCCCATAGGAAGCTCCATCGAAGGCCCCAACGGCGACGGTCGCATGCGTCCCCGCCCCCACCCCATGTCGGCACACCCCTCACACGTTGCGCGGCCTCATAGACGTTCGCATGCGTCCCCGCCCCCACCCATTTCGGCACACCCCTCACACGTTGCGCGGCCGCATATGGAGCTCCATCTAAGGCCCCAGTGGAGACGTTCGCAGGCGTCCCCCCCACCCAACCGTTTCGGCACACCCATCACACGTCTCGTGGCAGCCCCATAGGGAGCTCCATCGACGGCCCCAATGGCCGCGCCCGCATGGCATCGCCGCACCCGTTTCGGCATACCCCTCACACGCTTCGTGGTCCATAGGGAGCTCCACTGATGGCTTCAATGGCGACGTTCGCATGCTTCCCCGCTACCCATGTCGGCACACCCCTCACACGTTTCGTGGCCCCAAAGGGACCTTCACCGAAGGCCCCAATGGCACAGGTCGCATGCGGCCCCCCGCCACCATTACGTCAAGCCCCTAGCGCGCTTCGTGGCGCCGTGGAGAGCTCTTATCTCTCAACCGCCGTGCCCACAACTGCATATGGTTGGGTCCTTTGCCAGAGTATCTGTCGTGCGACAGGAACATACTTGCTCTCACGAGCAATCAGGAATGTATGTAAAAAGTGGAAGAAGCAGACGAGTGCGATATGTTCTGAGAAAGAGCGGCGCTTCCATCAGGACCAGCTGATGACAACAACTGAATGAGTTGCAAAGCGGACGATGACTTGCCGACGTGCGCTGCAAATCCCGCCGCACATGCAGAGGCCGTGCAAGACACTGCCCGACGTCAGAGCACCCACCACTGTTCAGCCCTGGCGGGGGTGGGGCGAATTCTGAGGGAGCGAAGGGCCTCACACCGCCTCGCGGTCCCGGCCGCCGGCGCAGGGCAGGCACGCCCCGAGGCCGGAGCGCTTCAGCAGGATGGCGGTCCTGGAACCGCCGCTCTGCGGGGCCTCCGTGGAGGGAAGGTCAACGTCGTCGACATCGTCCTCCTGGCCCTCGTCATCCCTTTCCCCCTCCTCTTCCTCCTCTCCCTCCTCGTCCTCCTCGTCCTCCTGGTCCTCCTCGTCCTCTCCCTTCTCTTTCCTCTCTCGTCGTCGCTCTGCGGGGCCTCTGTGTAGGGAAGGTCATCGTCGTCGACGTCATTATCCTAGCCCTCCCCCTCCTGAAGGACAGTTTCTCTTCGAAATGGGGCCTCGCATTAGACTTCCTCGGAGTTGATCGCCCGAAGTGTAAACTTGTACAACTATCTTACAGATGGGGGCAGTCCTGGTCGAAACAGGGGATATTGCTGGACACCTGTTGAACTGTATGAATATACCTTTTCAGATTCCTTCTCATTCGCTAGAAGGATGCATGGCAGTCTATGCTCAAGACTGGACTCTGACCTGAATGGCAGGCACACAGGATGCTGGTCTTTCAAGGGGGCGCTTCTTGTAGTGATAAGAAATGCCTGTAAGGACTCATGGGGAGACTTGGACGGGAGGGTGTTTAGCAGCACCGTTAACGCATCTAGGACTTACTCTGGTCGTCGTCCCCCCTCCTCCTCCCCCTTCTTTCCCTCTCTCCGTCCCTCCCTCCCTCTGGCCGACCTCTGGACCGACCATCGCGGTGATCAGTGGCGGATCTGCAACAGCGGTAATGCCTGCCCCACCGAAGTCGAAGAGGCTATCAAATAAGCCGCAGAAACCCGCCTCTGAAAGCAAGCCAACAAACATCCAGAAGGCTATGGACTACATGACGGCAAAGACGTTCGAGATATCCAAGCCAGCGCCTGTCAATTCAGGAAGCTCGCGCGACACCAGGAGGCGGGCGCTCTGGAAGCAGCAGCATCCGCGGCCACATGGACCAACTGGAAGTACCATGCCGCAGGGTACAAGATCTCGCCCACATGCATGCGATGAGCCATGGGTGTGGACAGCACGCCACTGCACCGCCTCTACGAACGTCCAGCCACCAAGACCATAGAGCACCCCTGGATCGAGCGCGCAGCAGACCTTGGGACATGAGCACTAGCTGCCCGCGACGACGCGATCGAGATGGCGTTCTGGGTGCGCGGCGTCCTCCTCTCAACCATGTGCCCAGTGGACCCACCGCCTGCAGAAGGGCAGCATGGCAGATGAGTACTGGACAGCGGGAGGCGAAAGTCAACGATGCTCCACGGCAACATGATCACCACCGAGGCCTACACAGATGGCTCAGCCGTCTCGTCTGACAAGCGTACGGCGAGAGCGGGTTGGGGAGGGCACTCGACCTACCGTTCAAAGACAGCGAACCCGACCAGGCCTCAGCGTACCGTGGACGGTTCGGGATGATCGATGGAGACCAGACTGTTGGAGCAGCAGAGCTGGCAGCCACATGCTGGACGCTCCGTCTCGACATAGGACCGCTCACCATCTACTGCGACTCCCAGATGGTGGTAGACGGCTGGCACAGCTTCAACTACATGCGGCCTAGCGGACCACTGGCCAGATGGTGGGCGAGGATCAAAGGAGCTATTGCCATCAGAAACGGCGGCACCCAGGGCATCTCGCTCCGAAAGTGCTGCTCTCACGTGGACATCCCCACCATCGCGCGCACAGGACAGCCGCTCAGCGTGACCCGAGGTGCTTGCCGATGGATGCGCGCGCAGAGGGGCGGAGATGGCAGCTCACCTTATCGCGCCACAAGTAGCGCTGCTGGCAGAGAGGGAGGAACTGTTCAAAACGGATTCACGAGCGCATTGGAACAGTCACGGCACTCACGGCCGCACTGGACCACCCCAAGCTGCAGGTATATCGATGTGCTGGCATGTGGGGACACACCTTTGAGCACCGCAGAAAGCTGGAAGCCGCCGCAAACAACTGCACGCACAAACGCTCCGACGGTAAGTGGATCCGCCTTGTATGTGGGAAAATACCAGGCAAGTTCGCGTTCGCCAACTGGATACGGAACTGCGCCTGCAGCTCCCTCTCAACCATCGGCAACCAGCACGACTAGGCCAAGCAAGTCGCCAAGAGCGAGTGCGCCACCCTGCTGCCGCACGGGGGGGGGCCATCCGCGTCACCCGCAACCTGAACTACCTCCACGGGCAGTGCCGGCGCTGGGCGCGCGGTGCCACGGGGCCACTCGCAGCAGACGGGCGCAGCCGCATGCTGAAGCATAAGGCGCCTTGTAGAGGTTGGAAAACAGAGGCCGCCAAACACCAGCTAAACAGACTGCGCAAGGGGAGACCGCCCAAGCCAGGGAAGACAAAGTGGTCCGACGGATCCAGTGCGCCAGCATCCGACAGGCATCGCTGGGGCGAGAGGCAGTGCAGAACCAAGGGGTACAAGGGTTAGAAAAGAACGAGGAAGCGATGGAAGCACCGCGGGCTGCGAAGGACCAGCCCAAGTCATATGCAGACCCCAGGGAAGTTCAACTGCGAGAGCAGCGACGGCCCCAAGCTGGATAACGACGAGATGGAGATGCTCAGGGCGAACGGCTCGCGAGGGACCGCATGCGGCCATCGGCCGATCGCGGGCGCGCGAGGCGACAGTCGCCACAATAGCCGCAGCCGGCTCCCCAGAGCCGCCGACGAGCGGATGGCCGAAACCTCTGTGGGCAATTGGACCCGCGGCCCCTTGGTTGGTGGAAGCAATGCACCCCCAGGGCTGGCCAGTGACAAGTGGGTGGTCGAAGCCGAGCCCAAGGGGGCCCAGCATTCCTGGGCCGCCGACGGGCGGGTGGCCGACGCCCCACAATTTGCCGGCGCTACCGCCAGCGAGCAGCCAGGAGAGCTGGGCGGGATGGGCCAGGTCCCAACGCCTAGCGGGGGCGGGAGCGGGGCGCCTCCCGCGACCCCAGCTGCCCCGACACCTGGCGGCTTGAAGATGCACGAACCAAGCCAGTCGGCGCCCGCCCGCGCAGACCACATCCAGGCGCCTAGGAGGTGGCCAGGAAGGCCGCGCGGACCGTCGACCACATCAACGCGACGGACAGCCTGATGACCCGAAGGGACGGCGGCAAGGCTGCAGGATGCGGCCAGGGCGACCATGACAGACCACTGCAGACGCGGACAGAAACTCGGACTCAGACCGCGAAGAGCTGCGCCACCCACCCCTGCGGAGCAGCTGCGGGGGGTGGCGGAGCCCACGGGGTGGGATGCTCCGCGCCGCGCGGAAGACATCCTGGGATCCCCTCCCCATCACCTCCGCCTTCCGTCCCAAATCTGGGGGGGCACATAACTGGCGCATGATCTTCAGGCCGGGTCCGCGCCCTCCCCGCACGCGGCGGAACCCGCAGGATGAAGTGCGCCGCGCCGCGCGGAGGGCGCCCCTGGAACCCCACCTCCCCATCCTTCCGTCCAAGGTCTTGGGGGGCACCTTGCGGCGGAGCTCACAAAGTGAAGAGTTCCGCGCCGCACGGAAGGCGTCCGTCAACCTGGGGGGTTCCTCTCTCTCCCACCTCTTTTGGTACGGGGTCGCACCTAACTTGCGCGTGATCAGCGGGTTGAAACTGCACCTTCCCTGCAGGCGGCGGAACCCACAGGTGAAACGCTCCGCGCCGCGCGGAGGGCGTCCCTGGAATCCTTCCCCTCCCCCTCCTTCCGTCCCAGGGTTTGGGGGGCACATGACCAGCGCGTGGCCAAGCTGGGTCTGCGCCCTCCCTGCAGGCGGCGAAGCCCACAGGGTGAGGTGCCCCGCGCCGCGCGGAAAACGTCCGAGGGTCCTGTGTACTTGCCCCTCTGCCCCCATTCCTGACCGGCGCATGATCAGCGGGTTGAAGCTGCGCCCTCCTTGCAGTCGGCGGAACCCGCAAGGTGACGTGTTCCGCGCCGCACGGAGGGCATCCCTGGAGTTGGTTCTCACCTCCTCCTTCTTCCGTCCAAGGTCTGGGGGCGCGCCTAACTGGCGCATGGTAAAAGGTTTGGGGCTGCGCCCTCCTCGCACACAGCGCGGTGCCCAGGAGTGGAATGCTCTGCGTCGCACGGACGGTTCCCGGGGAGTCCGTCCGCCACTGAATTCTGGCCCCCCACGAGGCCCCCGCTCGAGACATCCCCCAATTTTGCAAAACCAGCGTTTCGCTCGAGACATCCTCAACAATTTATGAACAACAAGCGTTTCGCTCGAGACATCCTGGCTAAATCCAAGGACATCTGGGAAAAATAAACGAATTAGTCGAGACATCCTCGAAATTCCTGCGCGCGGGACGTGGCACGCGCGAGACATCCTCGGAATTCCTGCGAGCGGAACGTGAAAACAAGCATTTCGCTTGAGACAGCCTTTGAATCCTGGCCCCCCACGAGGCCCCCGCTTGTTGCAAAACCAGCGTTTCGCTCGAGACATCCTCAACAAATTATGAAAAACAAACGTTTCGCTCGAGACATCCATCCTGTCCCAATCCAAGGAACTCATGGAAAAAACAAACGAATTAGTCGACACATCCTCGAAATTCCTGCGCGCGGGACGCGGCACGCGCGAGACATCCTCGGAATTCCTGCGCGCGGGGCGCTTTTCCGCGTCGCGGTCGGGGCTCCAGGCCTTCTTTTTTTGAAGATTCAGGAAAACGATTGTCCGCGGACTCCGTTATTTATCGAGGATCCGAGATGGGGGGTCGACTTTCCTTGAGCGGGCACGCGCGAAACGCATTTTTTCCCGGAAAGGGCATGGGCCCAGGGTTCTCTTTTAGTATGTAAACTAGTCCCCCGGTGCCTGCTTGAAGGAGGCCGGCGAATTTTTCCCTGATAAATAACGAGGTCGAAAGAGGCCGGCGAATTTTTCCCTGATAAATAACGAGCCGGCGAATTAAAATTTGAGGATGTCTCGAGCGAAACGCTTGTTTTTGAGCGCCGGCGAATTTTTCCCTGATAAATAACGAGCCGGCGAATTAAAATTTGAGGATGTCTCGAGCGAAACGCTTGTTTTTGAGCGCCGGCGAATTAAAATTTGAGGATGTCTCGAGCGAAACGCTTGTTTTTGAAATCCCGACCTCA